GCTTTTTAGTTATATGCTTTTTAGCCATGCGGCTTTTAGCTTTTCGCTTTTAGTCGTGCTTTTCAGTCAACGCTTCTTAGCGCTTTTTGAGCATGCTCTGGCTTACACGCCAGCTCCTCCAAAACCATGAGGAGAAACGCCACCTAGTCTCGTCAAACTTTACTTATATTTCTTTACTTTAGTTTCTTTTCTTTTCCGTTGAGAGTTTCGTGTTCTGAGTTAAGTTGCCTAACGCCGAGTCTTCGAGTCCGACCTCGAGTGCCGTCTAAAACTTCAACCAGCTCACAACTCCGCGTCGTCAGCCAACGCCCAACCACTGGCTTCCCAAGACTGAACTTCCAGCCAATCAGCAATCTCAGGAAACCCCCTTTTCTGCAAGGACCACAACAAAGGGAACCCCCGCACACAGGCAACGCAAGTACCTCCAGATTCTAGCTGAACTGGTGCATTTAATATAAATTTTAACCTCATTGAGGAACTCCATTCGATGGTTAATTAAGTGATTGATGGCTGTTCAGGTCTATGCAATTGCACATATTGCTGTAAACTTGAGATTTCACATTTTCATTTCCTTAAACTCATTCTTTCCTTACTTTCTCGCTTTCTGCAACTTGTGTGAACAGACAGATTTCTGAAACTGAAGATGAAACTGAAGACCGGAGTAATTGCTGCTGAAAATTCAGCTTTGCCATTACAGGAATAAATTACATTTAAAATATATTAAAATAGAAAAGTTGTTTTAAACTGTAATAATATTTCACAATATTACTGTTTTACAGTATTTATGATAAAATAAATGTAGACTTGGTAAACAAAAGAGACTTCTTTCAAAACCATTAAAAAAATCACTAAAACAAACAAAAAAAAATCAACAGTAGTGTATCTATCCATTCACTTACCCAGCTTAGTGATGCCAATTTCCTGTAGATCCTCCCATGTGATATCCTGCACTATGTTGATTGAGTCATATCCATTCTCTGCTAGCTTTTTCTGGTATTGTGGCAGCCCAATAGCACTGAGCCATTTCCCATTATCAGACTGAAACAAACAGACAAATTTCATCTTCAGTGCCTCTGTTGGTTAAGAATCAAAAGTCAATGTCTGTGATATGAATCTAGCAATTATCTGGTTATTAACTCCTGAAGCTCTCATTAGTGTGATAACCTTGAATTTGTACAGCACTGTATGTTTGTGTAAATGTTTAAAACTGTTCATATATAGCACTAAATTACTGGAATGTAATCTGGCAACCACTCTGGGATATTCATGTTGCCGATCTCCATGGAGATCTTCTTGCGGTGGCCAGGCTTTGTAACGCCAATAGCGGTGAGATCCTAAAATATAAAAAACAGATTGATACACTTAAAACATTAATAGACCGTAAGTTCAGCTTTGATTTCTATTGAATGCAGTAGTGAATACCAATGAGCTGTGTGGGATGCAAACGTAAGCCTGTGTACTTAAATGCTGATACACAAAAAGTGTTATACCTCAGGGGTCATTCTGCTGATTGTGGGCACATCATAGCCAGCTGTGAGGAAATTAGATGTGTACTGCTCAAGCTGAAACTCACAGAGCCACTGGTAAATAGCCTCAGCATCCTATAACACAAAGAGACGACTGAGCATTACGCACAAAAGCCCAATGGGTCAGTCATGTTAACATCCACAGTTCATTTAGATCCAATTCTCTAGCTTATGTACTGCTCAACTCACAGAGCCACTGGTAAATAGCCTCAGCATCCTATAACACAAAGAGACGACTGAGCATTACGCACAAAAGCCCAATGGGTCAGTCATGTTAACATCCACAGTTCATTTAGATCCAATTCTCTAGCTTAAAAATTGTTTAACATTTCATTTTAAATAAAAATAGGCATACTACAGTACTGCAAACTGAAAAATAAATAAATAAAATGAAAAAAGATTTAGATGACTGTGCAATGCTATGTGTTTGGCTACTATTTCAAGGAAATACTAGTTTATAACTTAATAAAATAGTGTGCTGTA